CATTTTGCTAATCGTCCCCTCCCTTGCACCAGCATGAGAGGAAAGCTCACGCAGGCTATCAAGGAGGAGGAAGCAACAACCCGTCTGCTCAATAAGCGTCAACGGACCACGTGCAAACTGCTGACAAACCAGGGGGGTCTCAGACCAGTTCTTTCAACGTGCAACAATTTTGCTTCCAAGAGCAAAGCTAAACAGATTGCAAAACACTGCTTCCCCAAAAGGGTCACGTGTTTTGACACTTTTGATACCCTTGATAACATCTCTTTTACTAACTTGCAAGACAAGCTACCTGGATTACTCTAGCACGGCTCCAAAAGCAAGACTATCTTAAAATTTGCTATGCACTTAAAGAAGACCAATTTTAAAATGTTAAGCATCTAATAAGCCCTGACTCTGACTGTACAAAATAACCTTAAAATTTGCTCAGTTTTCCACCCACCAATGACTTGCGCAAGGGTAAAAGAAACTGCGTCGAGCAGTTGCTCTGTGATACGCAGAAGTGTAAGAAGGTGGCATGCTTCAGAGCATAAACACATTAATTGACTAATAGATGGAAATAATTCAGAAGGTCTTAACGATTTCCTATGCACAATTCTAAGTGAAGTTGCTTTAATGCATATCTTGATTGTTACCATCTTGGGGGAAAAAAAAAGACATGCTTAATCATTTCCCCACTGCCATAGTAAATAGGCTTTTTAAAAAAAAATGTCCCTTGTTGATGAAAGTAATCTTCTTGCTCAAAATTGCATAAATATTACAGAAAAGGCAAAACAGGTAGAGACCCGATAGCACGAGCAGGTCGGGCACAACAGCGCGAGTCTCTTCCCGCGTCGCTGATGGCGAGGTCGGATGCTCAGGACTCGCCTCCCCGAGGCTGCCCGCAAGCAGGTGTCCTCGCCAAACAGAGGGCAGGAGAAAACCCACTGCCGCATCCTCAGCCTCCGACAGAACAGAAAAAGCCAAGGGGAGGGGAAAAAAGAAAAAAAAAAAAAAGAAAAAGAGAGAGACAAAGCCGCGCTTTAAGGGACTGCAAGGTCGTGCCGCCCTCTTGTGACCACCGGGACGTTCTGGCGTTCTCCAGCCGAACAACCGAGGGCCCTGGAGCGGGGTTAGCCGCGTCCCTGCTGCCACCGCCTTCAAGCCAAGGCCCTTCAGGCGAGGTGCCAGGCTCCTGCAGGAGAGTCCCCGCTGCCACCCCACAGCGCACCGCAAGAGCGCGGACCTGCTTCAGGTGCTTCAAATTCCAGTACTGGTCAGCGATAGTTTTTAATTGCCATTCATTTATTAGGCCACCCTCCTACCAAGTTTCAGCCCCCTCTTTACCCGTGTCCCCTCGTATTTCAATCACGGCGCACCGAGTCCCGGTAAGCACCCCTTGGGCAGAACTCCGTCAATTAGGTGGCTACCGAGACCTTCCTCCCCCGAAGCTGCAGGCAACGAGAGAGGGGTTGCCTGCACAAATACCGATTCGAGGGTAAACCCGCGCAGCCGTTCGTTCCCCTTAGCAGGGTCTGGGACCAGGCGGGAGTACAGGCAAGATTTAAGCACGAGCAAACTGATGTCACGGCTCAGCTCGGAGGGGTTCCGGCAGGCGTGCCCGGCGTGCCCTGCTCTGGGGTACTGAGCGCTTGGTGTCGGGCCAGGGAGAAGTGGCGGGCAGGGACTTTGGGAAGCTTCCACCCTCCTGCCTTGCTGCTGTTAGCAATGCACAGCTCCCCTTCGGTGTCTCGTCCCTGCAGAAACCTGAGCGTTACTGGCACTTGGGCATCGCTCTCATGGACCTGTAACAAGAACTTCGGGGTTTTTCTTCCCTCCCCGGAACGCTGAAGTGCTGATCCCCTACAGCACCGCCCGGCGTAGGACAACGGCCCAACACGCGCAGGCCAAATGCTCGCTCTGGTCCTCGCTCCAAAAAAACATTAGCACAACTGGCTAAAACGTTAAGAACATCCGATATTTACACGCATCTGTAATAGCAGCAATGCTCTTCTAGCAGAGGGAAGAAGGATTTATACCTTACCCCGGTGCTCCTACCAACACCTATTAACTCAGTGATGCACGGACACACAAATCAAAAGCGTTCCACAGGCACAGGGGTAGAGAATTCAGCTTTCTCTGCCCCACCTTCTTTTAAATCACTCCAAACTCCCAGGCCGTATAAAACGCCTTTCTTTGGCAGGATCCCTTTGGAGTGCCTCCGTGCTTCAGGAGAGGCTCCGCGAGCCGAAGGTGCTGCCTCCCACCCACCCAGCCAGGCCCGGGGACCCCCGCTCCTGCGGGACAGGCCATTCCTTACCACTAACCCGAAGGACAGCGTACACAGTACGGGCCTTTCAGTGTGTTTTAATTTATAAAGTCAAAACAAATAAATTCCTTTTCATTGGTATTAAACAGATCAAAATTAAATACAGATTCAAACACATACAACAACTTCAGTTGATAAACAGCATTAAAAAAGTCTTAGTAGGAAAGAAAGCCTGGTTTATGCATCAGAAAATCATCCACTTTCTCTACAGAAAAGTTAAAACACTTCATTAAAGGCAAGACATCTGCTTCTCTCCTTGCTACCCTTTCCTCAGCCGGCTTTAAAGAAGAAGGAAGAGACTTTTTCCCCTTGGAAGGCATGACAATTGAGTTATCACATACATTTTCATAACAAATTAAAAATCTACGTTGTGGTTATAAGGATTACTTACCTGCATGCATTTTTTGGAGGAATGCGTTCTGTAACTGGCCGAACAAGATGAAGTACCACGGCATGACAGTTGAGTTATCACATACATTTTCATAACAAATTAAAAATCTACGTTGTGGTTATAAGGATTACTTACCTGCATGCATTTTTTGGAGGAATGCGTTCTGTAACTGGCCGAACAAGATGAAGTACCACTCAATGAACAGGCACTCTCACCCCTCTCATGCAATACCATCATTTTAAAGGGCTATCGTCAGCATGAATTCTGGGCAGTCGGCGAATATCAAGTAAGCGCAAGGTATTTCGCTTGTCTAAACCTGAAGTTTTTCAGCCGCGCTTTAATGTGCCCGTATCTATTTCGCTTTGGGAACCACCTGTTTGCTGAGGGGCAAGCCGATTCAATAAAAGCGGTGGCTCTACAGAACAGCAAAGTTTGGCTGAGGAACAAATTCCAGTTTTGGCTTCTTAATTTTTTGAAGTCACAGAAGACAGTTAATCTTCAACCAATCAATCCGGTGCTCATTTCCACTGGTGCTTCATCGCTTGCTCTGCCTTCCTAAGCAATTATATTCTACTTATAAAAAAGGGCTAAGTTTTTCAACAGATTATCATCTTCAAGTAGAAGGGCCAAGCCACGCAGTGAAGCGCTTCCAGAACCGATTGTAACATTGGGGGCGGGAAATTGTTTTTGACGAGATACACTGTGTGCTTTTAAGTGTATTGGCATCAAGCACATCTCACGCGACAGAAAGCTGAGAGAAGCAAGGCGAATCAGGCAACGAGCTACAGCAACTGGAACTCCTGGCCGAGGACATCAACGTCCTCTACTCTCCGCTAGAGGAAACAATGATTAAAAAACCCACCGTACACAAGACATGCAGCTTTATTCAACTGGCGGCGTGAAAACTCAGAAAATCCAGTTTCTTACCTGCATCCTGCCAGCTAAAACCTTAGGGCAAGTTACACCTTTAGTGATATAAATCCACTTAAAAGATTTTACAGCTTTAGAAGATGATGGCTTCCATACTGAAGAAAGATTGCCACGAGTCAGAAAACAAACAAAAAAATCACGCCTTCACCATATAACCAGTACAGTTCTGCCTACTCTTTCAGATTAAAAACACCTCTTAACTAAAAACTTGAGTGACCAGTTGAAAAGTAAATCTAGTTAATATAAAAATAATTTTCTTCTCTCTTGTATAAGCCAAGAGCAATGTTACAGAGCAAACCATCATGAGACTTGTATCTAAGTCAAAAACAATCAAGGAAAAATCTGGGATTTGAATTCCTCTTAATAATAATTTTCCTTCTTTTCAAAAAGATACTGGATCAATCCAATGTTATTCCAATTACTTTTCAGATATAATAGCAGCTTAAGTCACAAGAGAGTACAGAGAGAATTCCAAGGGGTTCTCCAAAAGTACGGTTAAATTCTTGTGCTGCAGTAGGAGAGGAAGATTTGGCTCAAAGAATCCCACTGTTGCCATCAATAGCTTTACTATCTACTTCCCTTGAATACTCCTTTTCAGCTTCATGAAGCTAAACTAATGTTTAAATGAATGGAAAACTGCACACTTAAGAAAAATCACATTCCATACCAGTAATAATTTAATGGAAGTTTAAAAATTCCCCATTTCCATTTTATACCCATGTGTATGAAACGCTACAGCTCCTCTGGCAGCACCTTAGAACAGCCACGGACGCAGGCGTAAGGGAGGCAGCAAGAACAGCCGTCAGCTTCACACACGCTCGCTGATGACAACTGTTCCGCAGCAAAGCTGGTCCCTGCAGAGAGCAACTGATTTTTCCTTCCCTCTTCTCCATACTCCCAGAAATGCAAAAACGTGCTTTTAATCCGCACATTGAGAAATTTCCATCCCAACTATCAAATACTTATAGTGTTTATAGCAGAAACTGCACTGTTCTATATAAATATAAATTAGGCATATTTACACCTCGGCAGGACCCACTTACATCAATTTCAAGTTTATCTGCATTACTATAGGACAAAGGAAATATGATGCTCATTTTCAGGAAAAGTGACATTTTGACAGCAGCTTTTTCACTCCCAGATGTTTCAAAGCTCTCCCCTTGGATTGCTTACTGAAAATAATGGATAACATAAATAATTTCTGTACAGTTTTCAAAAAGCAATTCTCCAGGTCTCAATCCCGACGCTGAAACATAAATGGCACACTTCTACACCTGCGTATGGTTCTCCAGGCAAGGTACGTTAAGTGCACCTACAGGGAATTGGAGAAGAAAGCCTCCTCCCCTTACTACTTTGTAAGTATTAAGCAAAAAAACCCACGAACGTAAAACCAAAAAAACCCAAAAACCCATAGAAAAGTTTCTCACATGTCATTACAAGTGCAAAGAAACAATATGCAAATTTGTACGCATTTATGTTGAAACACTGTCCATGTAAACAACCAAATGAAGAGTCACATACAAGCAGTGAAGACGGGAATTCACATCCTACTTCACAGCAGCCACCACCTTCATCACGATTTAGTTTCCTTCCTCCAACCCATTTTAAAACTTTCGGGCGTAAGTCCTGGTGTGGTACGTTAGCACCCAAACATCTTACGGATCAAAACCTCAACCTACCTCACAAACTTTTTTTTTTAAAACACATATATGTGTATATACACACACACACACACTTTACTTGGTATTCTCCAGACAACTTTCCGTTCTCAATATGCAGAGTGACAGCTAAGTCCCTGTTGCAAACCAGTCTTGACTGTTTCTCCAGAACTTTTAACTCTCTAATCTATGGTCACACGAAAAGATTTGTAACTATCCAGTGTAAACACACTCCCTCTCACGCGACACAAGGATTAGTCAGTGTAACGATGGTGCCGAAGGCATTTGCCTGAAAGACTCTTTCTCGACATCTGAAGGGATGAAACATAACTGCACAATACATGAATACGAGCAAAGGCAGTCCCCCCCCGCCCAGCTCCAATTAATTGCAAAATGGACCCGACTCATTTTTTGCTGAAATCCAATTTCAGAGCGATAGCTCACAGTCCTATGATGTGCTTTATATACATTTCACCGCTCTATAAGTGAATGAAAAAGAACAGGAGTCAAACACATTTCTTCCCTACCCACACATAACAGCAATGAAGGTCTATTCTTTCATAAGGCATATTCATCTTCAGCGAGAATCCGAGCACAAGCAAGAATTCTGCCAAGTCGTGCGATTCTATAATTTCACCTTCCTCTACCCAACGTCTTGAAATTCCAGGATCTCCTGCTCTGTTCCTCAGGCAGAATAATCCCTGCCACAGTGGGCATTTTTTATTTAACACAACTAAAGAGCAGGGCTAAATAAAAAACCCCTCAGCAGCCGGACCTCTGTATCTTTCAAAAAGAGGGACACACAAATGACCAATTTGTGCAGTTCTCTGGCTTTATCCCATAACCTGCCTTTTTACAATATCTATATATATATATAAATTAGAAAGAGATAAAGCCAATGATTAACTGCAGCGTTCATGAAAAAACTTCAGTCCGTATTACAGTCTCGTCTCTTCTGATCGGAGATCACTGAGGTGTAAAGGTGAGAATCATCCAGCTGATAACAAAGTAGAAGAGGAAGATGGGGTACACAACAAGAGCTTTGCGGTTTGGAGGCTGACTGTCTGCCAGGAAAGCTGTAGATGCTGGTGAAAAAGAAAAATACTTGAAATGTGAGCAGCATAAAACTGAAAGTCTAAGATCCACTGCAGATGTTAACAATTTTGAATTAGGATCTGCATTACAACTATGCTGAAAGAGAAAACAGAGTAATCCATTGCTCAGTACCAACGGTCTGTAATCACCAGTTAAAGCTTTCCTTGTCGTACAGAAAGATAAATGCTGATTAACATTCTGTAACAAGAGTCAGACTTACAGATTAAGAACAGGAGAAATAATGCAAATGCATCTGTATGAAATTAGCACTTTCTAATGGTATTTATAACACAGATCACAGAATAAAATACCCAGTAGTCTCACATGGGGTTTAATATTAATTATCATCCTTCTGCCAAAGGCAATTTGCATACGACCAGGAAAATCAACAGGAGCATAGGCAGAGGCTGAACCTCTGCCAACGCAAGGATTGGAAGAACTATTTCTACAGTATTTCAGCAGCCGAGGAGACACCTTAGCCTACAAAGTCCATCGGCTTTACCCAACAGAATGCATGCAGATCTACCTCCTCAAGCGCTGCACTACTCACTGCGCAGAACAGTGTTATAATGCAAAAAGGTACTTACCTAACGTTGACCAGCCAAACATAGCTACTACTACAATAAGACGTATAATGAAGCTGACAGTCCCAGAACCTGCCAGCAGTACCAGCCTGCACACCAGCATTGCTACTGTCAGGGGCAGGACACAGTAACCCAGAACGCACAGGCTCTGAAAAAAGGATCTGGAAAGGAGAGACAGAAATGGGAAAAAAGTAGTCAAACCAAAGCCTTGCAGAAACTCCGTGCATGGGAGGATTTTAACTGCTACTAAATAAACCAGCACTCACATAGTTCCTCCAAGAAGCTTTGAGTTTAGTGTGATGACAACTGCACCAAACCAGATGATGACAAAGACCTCAGCAAACTGGGGCCCTCCGTCGTCCTTGCTATCTGCTGATCCACCCTGAAGCATCCTGTCGTAGGTAACAGATAAAAGGAGTCATTTGCAATTGATGACAGAGTTTTCGTAGACTTGGAGTAGATGACAGAACAGAAGCCCGAAACACCGAGTCCCAGTTAGGCTGCAGACCCATTATTTTTCATCCGTTTTCTTATTTTTAGTAGTATCCTCAATTTTGAATAGGAAAGGAGAATGGTTGTGGCTCAACTGAGGGCATATCAGTCCATTTGTTTACTTGTTTTGAGGACTGTGTAAGCATATAGAGGAGAATAAAACCACAGGCAACGGGCTAACCGATGAAAATTAAAGTACCAGAAGTTTGGTAACCTCTCAAAGCAGGCAGCATAGTGCACGATAAAACACAAAAGCCATAAGAAAAGCTTATAACAACTACAGGACACAAGCAACACAAAGCCAGGAAAAGCAAGCATGCATTGATTTGAATATTTAAATGACGCCGTGTACTTCTGCTAAATCTTTACCGACATTTTACTGAACGGTTTCTGTACATTGAGTGCATAGGTGTGCCTCAATTAGTTGACAGATCTGACCAACATTTCCGTCCTACCCCAGGCACATCTGCACACATACGCTCCCGTGGAGCACCAGAAACTCCCGGGAGCCACCACCGTCTCCCATCTATGAACTACTACAACAGCCTCTCTTTTTCCACTGGTTCTCCAGGATACGTAGCACGTACACTGCAGCTCTCAGACAAAGGTTTTGACCCGCAGGTTAGGGTCAAAGTCGGCCAAACGCATTAGAAACAAGGACAATGTGAATCGGGATACCTTTCAGTAAAATCATTCTTAAGACAGTGGACTAGGAAGAGTTCACCCTTAAATCCTAAGTTTAAAGAAGGGAGGTCTTAATGGGCTTGAAGTGTCAGAAATACATTTTATACGAAAATCTAAACAGGCAGTGTTTGCAGAAGACCAGAGAAGGATCAGATGAACTTGATCTCGACACATGTAGTCAGAAATTTGTAATTTCTCATTTCTCCAATGTAAAAGACTATAAAAGCCCAAATGCACCCACTATAAGTACTTACAGTGCAAGTGAGACACAAAGCACCAAAGGGCCCCAAAGATCCCCTGCAGGTAAAGGAAAAAATAAAATCATAAATATCACAGAACGATGCTCAGTTTCATTCTCCCGAGAGTAATAAAGCACTCTTTTTCCAACTCCCAATGTACCATTTTGCATATTATACTTCCTTATAATTTCCTTATAAGTTAGCATCTTATATGCCATATTCTATAATATAATCTATTCAAAGCCTGCCAACTGTAAAGCTACCTGTTCTACACATTCTAGCACATGCTCCACTTTTAAAGAGCTTTGGTAACACTCTGATTTTTCATGTTTCCTATTCAGCATTCTACAACAACAGAAAGAACACAGAACAGACACTTCCGAATGCCCGTTCCCCTGAACTCTTCCTTTTCCCACACCGGCAAAGTCTGTTGGCAAAACACCCTTTCAAGATTTGGCAAATCTTCTTATACGTACAGTCTCTGAGGAGCGCACTACTCTTTTTCGGATACATGACATGGACAAATTTCTTCCCAACGGCCTTCAGATCTCTCATCTGAAATAAAGAAGCAACACTTTAATTTATCCCGTCATGAAAACTACAGTTCACAACTAAAAGCAGCAAGACAGAAGTAAAGGAGTACTGATGGTAAATCAAGGTAGGATCTAACCCAAAAATTTCTGTAGCATCCTCTGCAACAAACAACACCTACCTTACCTACATTCCTTAACAACCACAATATTTTATCCTTTGGTAACGCCCAATTAAGAACAATAATTTGTTTGCTCCTCTAGGAAAAGAAAATTAACGAAAAATCCTATTAGCCAGAACAGTTTTCTTCCAAGCTTCATCTGAGGCCTTTACCCTTGAAAAGATTTTGAGATCACAGAGAAGCTTTGGGGACGTAATTCAGACATTTTTTCGACCCAGAAGAATCCATTTACATAGCTAGTTCTAAAAAAAACCCCAAACTTATGATGAAGTACAAGTCAAGCAGAGCTATGCAAAAATACAGTTTTTGCATAACAGTTGGCCAAAGATATCAGCAAAACACGTGTTTTACCATAGATACAGGCACGGACTTACAATAGTATCCCTAACAGGCTCATCCAGCGTGGAGTAGTCTTCATCAGGAGAGCGAGATCCGACAGGAACAGTAATCTCCCCTTCCACTGGAATATCTTCAGATATCGACACATCTGCGAGACCTGGGAACTAAATGTTTTTTAAAGCCTTTAGAAAGGAAGAAATAGAAACCAGCTCGTACTCACTTCAGATGTTTTTCAGCTGGGTTTAGGATGAAAACAACTGCTCAGAATTCAAAGAAACAACAACTTAATAACACGGTCAACAACAGAGCCCAGCCGTTGTCTGCTTGATTTAAACAGCTCGCAGTCCGAAGAGGTGAGTAGATACGTATAAGCAAAGCATTTCTGTTTTCTTCAGTAACTCCCAGTAACCTGCTTTTTGTCCTCTATTTAGACAGCAGTAACCGAGGGAAGTAGAAAGCTTGTCTGTGTTTTTTAAGCAACGTGACGCCCGACAGCCGTGCAGCCACGCCATCGCACCCCGGTGCGCGGTCTTTCACAGGCTCTGCGGGAGAACAGCTCACGAGAAACCGTACAGGCATCTACAGCCCGCGCACAACGCCGGGACGGCTGAGCGCCGAGCGTCGACAGAACCGACCTCCTCCGCCCAGGCGACAGGTTAAAGCGCTCGAGTTCCCGGAGATGGAAGCGAACGGGGAACAGCCCGAGCGGTGCCACCGCCTAGAGGAAACTCCCGGGCAGACGGGGCAGGCAGCGGGGAGCGAGCGCCGGGAGGGCGAACGCGCCCCGTCCCTGAGTAATCTGA